CCTCAACCGCTCCTCCTATGACAAACCCTTCATTCCTGAGATCATTCTTGCAAACCTCCACTGGACCCTCACCAAGGCCAACACATCCTTCCTTAGATAATGGGCACAAACCTGGTCCCTACATTCCAAATGCAGTCTGACTAGAACTGTCTACAGTGTCAGTAGTACATCTCTGCTCTTGTGTTCTAGCCCTCTTGAAATGAATGCTAAAGTTGCATTTGCTTTCTGAACTGCCAACTGAACCTGCATGTTAACCTTAAGTGAGTCCTGAACTGGGACTCCCAAATCCCTTTGTGCTTCAGATTTCAGAAGCCCTTCCACATTTAGAAAATAGTCTACACCTCTATTCTTCTTACCGAAGTGCATAACCTCATACTTTCCCACACTGTATTCCATCTGCCACTTCTTTGTCTACTTTTCTAGCCTTTCCAAATCCTTCTGCAGCCTCCCTGTTTCATCAAGACTACCTTCCCTCCAACTATCTTTGTTCATCAGCAAACCAAGAAATAATGCCCTCAAATCCTTTGTCCAGATTGTTACTATATAACATGAATATTGTGGTCCCAACACTGACCCCTGCAGAACTCCACTAATCACCAGCTGCCATTCCTGAAAAAGACTCTTTTATCCCTCCTGTCTGCCTTCTGCCAGTCAGCCAATCCCGTCTCCATACCAATACCTTACCCTAACACTGTAGGCTCTTATCCTATTTAGCAGACTCCTGTGTGGTAACGTGGCAATGGCCTTCTGGAAACTCGAATAGGTTATGTCCACTGGCTCTCCTTTGTCTAACTTGCTTGTTATCTCCTCAAAGAATTCTGACGTTTGTCAAGCATGACCGCCCCTTGATGAAACCATGCTGACTCAGCCCTATTTTACCATGGACTTCCAAGTACTCCACAATCTTATCCTTAATAATGAGCACTTAAAATCTTACCAACAGCCAAGGTCAGGCTAATTGGCCTATAGGGCCAATACTTCCTGTCTTCTGCCTCCTTCCTTCTTAAACAGGGCTGTTACATTAACTATTTTCCAGTCATCTGGCACCAGTCCTGACCCCAGTGATTCCTGAAAGGTCACCACCAATACCTTCACAATCTCCTCCGCTATCTACTTCAGAACACTGGGGTGTAGTCCATCTGGTCCAAGTGTTTTATGCACCTTCAGATCTTTCAGCTTCCCCAGCACCTTCTCCTTAGTGGTGGCCACTACACTCACCTCTGCCCCCCGATTCTGTTGAAGTTCTGATATGCTGCTGGTGTCTTCCACTGTGAAAACTGATGCAAAGTGCCTATTCAGTTCATCTGCCATTTCTTTGCTCCCCATTTCCATTTCTCCGCTCCCCATTTCCATTTCTCCAGCTTCACTTTCCAGTGGCCCAAATGTCCACTCTCTTGCCTTTCTCCTACCTCTTATATATCTAAAAATACTCTTGCAATCTTCTCTTTTATTACCAGCTAGATTACCTTTATATTTCATCCCAATCCTTTGATTTCCCACTAATCCTCACCACATTGTATGCCGGGTTTTTTTGCTTTTATGCATCCCTAACTTCCCTTGTCAACAACAGTTTGCCTCATTCTCCCTTTCTGAATTTCTGATTTCTGAAGAAGGGTCCCAACCCGAAACATCAGCTTTCCTGTTCCTCTGATGCTGCCTGGCCTGCTGTGTTCCTCCAGCTCCACACTTTATTATCTCATCCTCTGCATTGTCTTATGCAGTTTCTCCTCTCTGTGCTGTTTTATGAAGCATTTCCTTGCTCTTTCTCCATTCTGTTTTATAAATTCTCACCTCGCTGTGCTTTTTGTTTGAACTCTTGCCAGTCTCTGTACTGCTTTATTAAAACCCCTCTCCAACCTGACTTATGAAGACTCATGGCTATGTCCAAGTTGGACCTTCATGTATCTCTCTATTCTGTTTTATGCACTCTCTCCGTTTTATGAAGGGTCGCCACTTGGTCAGCACTATTTTATCAACTATCTTATGATGTGCTATTATATGGAATTGTATCTCTTTCTTCATGCATTTATAAAGTCTCACCTCTCTGTCCTTACTGTTTTATGAAGCATCTCCTCTCTCCACGCTGATTTATGAAATCCTGCCTCTCTCTCTCTCTGCACTGTTATATGAAGGTTCACCACACTCTCTTCATTGGTTTATGCAGTCTCTTGCCATTCTCATAGAACTGTAGAATCCCTACAGTATGGACTTGTTGGGCCAAATGGCCTGTTCCACACAGACTGTCTGAAGAGCATCCGACTCAGACTTACAACCCCCACCCCCGCCCAATCTCTGTAACCCTGCATTTCCCATGGCTAATCCACTTAACCTGCACATCCCTGGACACTATGGGCAACTTAGCACAGGCAATCCACCTAACCTGCACATTTTTGGACTGTAGGAGGAAACTGGCGCACCCAGTGGAAACCCACACAGACACAGGAAGAATGTGAAAACTCAGCAAACAGTCATCCGCGGCTGGAATTGAACCCGGGTCTCTGACTCTGAAAGGCAGCAGTGCTAACTACTGAGCCATCATGCCACCCTCTGCATTATTTTATGAAGTCTCTGTATTACTAATCCTCAACTCTCTCCACGTGCTGTTAGGTGCAGGAAGCAAATGCTGCTCGGGTCGTGGGCACTCAGTGCCTGATGAAGGGACCAGCCATTGGGAGGGGTGAGGAGTTGCTAAATGCAAAGCCCATTGCCCTTGATGTTGGTCCTGCCACCACTCAACAATGATTCAATCTGTGCCAATTCTCAGCCATGGGTAGGTATAGTATGGGCAGTAGTCACTGCCTCCCTTGGCTATCAATGAAGAGCTGCCAGCCTCTGGCAAGTGGACTTCCCAATATCAGGGATCTCAATGCCAGGGAGGGCCCGCTATTGGCCAGTTCACTGCTTGATGGGTGACAGGAGGCAAGGCAGGCCCCTTCACTTCATCTTTGAAGAGTCATCTAGACTCAAAACATTGCTTTCTCTCCATGGATGCTGCCTGACCCGCTGTGATCTCCAGCATTTGTTGTTTTCAGTCAACGCAGGCTTCCTGAGTCAATGGATGAGACACCTGTCACCTCTATTTAGACCAATAGATCTCGTAAGGAAAAGGACAAAAACATGAAGCAGAATCTCTTATTCAACCGAAGTAAGCTGAAGGTAAATGCTATAGGGGTTATTTACATCCATTTACAGTAAAAGTTTAGCCAACACCTTTTAACATGTAAGCTAATTGAATTACTCTTCATTATGCAATTGGCTGATATCGTTATTATAATTCTGTAAAGCTCTAGTCTACAAAGCGTATATCAACACAAGGGAGTTCTTATTGCACAGCAGTGCTGTCTACCCCTGAACCATGTCTGCTCCAGAGTTGTGTAATAACATTTCCCAACAGATTGTCATACAAAATATCTAATAACAAAGCAAGAAAACCCAGTCTTCTATTCCATCAAGCATGCCCCCACACAGAGCCCATTCAGGAACCATCTCTTGTCACCTTCCCACTGATCCCCCTAACTTGCAAATCACTAAATATTTCCTTCTAAATAAAAAGAATTAGAATCCACCAGTGTTTCTCAGGCAAGTGTGGCTTTTCAGCTTAGAAAAAGGTGAAGTGACAATGGTCTAGCATTCCATTAGCGAGAGATGAACGATGGCGAGTTTAACCAGAGGATCCCTATATCTCGATGAGGTTGAGAAGACAGAACCTTCACAATGAGCTCAGCCAGTGTGGGAATTGAACCCTCACTGTTGGGTCACATTGCTGACCACTAGTTTGTGATACAACAGGAGCTAACCACCTTGATAACACACAACCTTCTCTGATTATCTCTGATTCCAGAGCAGACATTGTTGTACCAGAAATATCATCAGGTAGTCTATTGTGGTGATATTGGTTAAGGGATAAATTTAAAGAAATATCAGACCCCATGCTCTACTTCTCCTGGAGTGTTTAGAAGAGTGAGCTTTATTCTATATCTAACCCTATGTAGTACCTATCTTGAGTGTTTGATGGCAACAGTGCAGAGTGAGATATATTCTATATCTAATGCTGTCCTGTACCTGACCTGGGAGCATTTTATGTAGGACAATGTAGAGGTTGATTTACTCAATATCTAACCCCATGTTGAACGTGGCCTGGGTATTTGGAAGGGGCTAGTATGCTTTAATCTGTGTCTCACCCTATGTAGTACATGTCCTGGAGTGTTTTATGTGTAAAATGGCGAGGGAGTTTTACTTTGTATCTAAGCCTGTACTGTGTGTCCTGCGAGTGTTTGTTGGGACACTGTAGACGAAACTTCACCTTCCTATGGTTTTAAACTGAAAGTATCAGAACGCCCTACTTTCATCCCCCAACACCTCCTCCCCAGTAGATGAGGATCTTTATCAGGAAGAAGAAAGATTTTGGTTTGAAATGTCATCCAAAAGCCAGCAGATCTGACCACACACAGAGCTACACTGAAAACTGGAGAATGCTTTGTTCCATTAGGAGCATTGTATTCATCTCACAAATCAATCTAGTGAATGGAGACAAGAAAGAGCGACAGAGATGGGTGATTCCTTCAAGTCATCATGGAAACCAATCCACAGGGCAGAGCAGAGCAGAGCAAAGTACAAACTTAATGATTTCATTTTTTTAAAGCAGAGCACTCAATGGTATGCCTCATTGGCAGTACTTTCATTCTGGGTCAGATTGACGTAGGCTCATTCTCCCCTTCCGAGGTTTTAAACTATTATCTGTTAAGTCTGATACAACTGCTGCACTGAGAGGACAGTCAGATGATCCTTCAAACAGGCCTTGGCGGCCTTCTGGACTGTGTGTAAAGCCAAAACGTATTCCTCAATGAATACCTACACCAGATAATCTGCCCATTTATTTAATTGCTATCTGTGGTGTGTGCTGATGCCTTCATAAATTCTGTGAAAGATGCTCTATAAATGCAAGACTTTTTTTTCCTCTTTCACGCAAGTTCATGCAATTTTATTAAAATAATTGAAGGAAAACATTTCTAAGTTAGTGTAACAATGGAATTGTATTTGATTAGGGGATACAAAGTTTCAGAAAAATCTCTAATTTGTTGTATTTTAATAAAAACAATGTGCGCTTGTAAGAGTATAAAGTCAGTAAAGCAATATTACATTAAAAATTGAAAAATTAACATACAATCTTTATAAAAACATTTTAAAAGGTAGAACTTTACATTGTACAACCAAGAATACATTGTAAAATAATTAAAGAATTTAATGAGAACATTTAGCAAAATTTACTTAAGATATATAACCCATAGTTGAGAAAACTCAATCTTCTCCCCTGCCGCTAAGCTGTATATCCAAGTATCAGCGATTCAGGAATTATATAAATAAAGCTTCCACCTTAAATTAGCATAGCCAATTTTAAGGATTAAATACCTGACAATAAGCAATCCATATTACAAAAATGACTGGCACAAATAACAAAATAAAACTGCTACAACAAAGTCATATCAAAAGATTGCAATAATGAGAAATACCCCTATTAGAAAACCACCTTGAATGTTTGAACAAAGTTTTTCCACAGCTTTAAGTAGTACCAGTTGCCCTTGGCAAATCTTGAATGTTAAAGTCCAAGATTTTTGTCTTTGTTTGGCGCAGGCAAAAGGTTGGAGACAAAAATCAGGCACCATTGCCTCAGACAAGTGTCTATGGTAAAAAGTTACTTAAATCTTAGATAACAGGTGTAAAGCTGGATTGAACACAGCAGGCCAAGCAGCATCAGAGGAGCAGGAAGGCTGACGTTTCGGGTCGGGGCCCTTCTTTTTCTGAAGAAGGGTCCAGAGCCGAAACGTCAGCTTTCCTGCTTGGCCTGCTGTGTTCATCCAGCTTTACACCTTGTTATCTCAGATTCTCCAGCATCGGCAGTTCCTACTATCACTTAAGTCTTAGACACTGGGTGCCAAATGAGGCACTTTGCAGAATATCCGAGGCAAGGAGGTGTAAAATATTCCACCGTATGAAAGTGTGAAGCCCAGTTGGAAAGGCAGGCCCATCTTTAGCACCAGTGTAGGAATAAAAACTCTTAGGAAACTAGTTCAGCATCCACTGCAAACCACACTCCATCAGCAACAACATTCGTACCAAATGAAGGGAGAAAGTATCAATCATAAAAGACTATTTATCTTGGAACCCCGAAGAGGGGTTAACCAAGTAGTCTTAATGCAGCCTGCACTTCAGCACACATAATTTTAAAGCAATGCTTTCATATATCTGAGTTTCCAGAATTCAACTGCAAATAGCAAAAATTGCAAAAGCTGCGTGTACATCTACAAGGGGCCATTACAGCAAAAAGCCTTCCAGTTGCAGTTTTGATCTAAACTCATTTATCCTTCTCCTACTTCAGAGAAACAAAAAGGTGCAACCTCTAAACCAAATTCGTGTCATTAATCGATTTCTCTCAAAATACACAGCATACCTTAAAAGATGAATGAGTCAGATATTTTTGCTATCTTCGTATGGAACACTGTAGGAAGACTCCAGTACACAGAAGCACTCTGCTGCTGTGATGTACATGTACCAACAGCCCACGTACAGCAACAAAATGCTTTTATATTTTAAAAACAAAAAATTGCCATAAGGTTTTGACTTCTAACACATGTAAAGCTGAAAATGTAAATCACCAACTCTGCTTTTGTGTTAACAGGGCATGTGAGCAGATCATTGATTGGACATTTGATTGTCGATGTGCTTTAGCAACAGCTGCAGTTAACTTCTTCACTTCAAGCTTACCCTCACTGGGAGTTGAAGAAAAGAACTCCACAGAACAATTATTACCAGGCAGTAAAGCTGGCATGATATTACTGAGGTAAGTAAAGATGTTCAGCTTTATCCTAGAAACATCATAAGACATTTTAAACCCCATTCCCCCACAGGACTGAGGATAGAACAAGACTCAACCATCAATTACATGCTCGGTTTCAGTTCTCAGTGTCAGCATGTCCATCTATTGGGTGGATTGCTTGTGCAGGTTTCTGTGCAAAAAAAGGGTTCTAGGAAATACAGCTTGACTTTGCACAGTTCCTGTATGAAGTAGAAAATCCTAACCTCATGTATTATTCCAGATGATTAAATGTGATTTCGTTTACTTCCTGAAACCAGACAACAAATGGCACAATCACATGTTTTGAACTTTTTAAAAGTTGTTCACTGTGGCAAAAGGCGGAGAGTATAAGCATTCTCAATGTCAATCTGACTTTGTAATGCCTAAGGGGATTTAAGGTGGGCTTCTTCTTTATTTGGCCTGTCAGAGATCGACACGTTCAACCACACAAGGATTCAGAATAGATTTTCACACTAAAACAGTTACTGCTTGGCTAAAATGGAAGAAAACATTTGCCTAAACTATGACTAGCATTTGGTAAAAAGGCAGCATAAACAATTCATTCCAATAGGTTTACAGCCATGTTGTTTACCAGGTTTAGTTTTCTATGCCAACATGGCTGTTGTAACACTAACTTACTTTGTTTTGCATTATGCTAGAAATTTCTGCATCAAATACTATATTAAAAAACCTTTCAAGTTAAATAAATATATACTAATACCCGCATCAAAACACCTCATTCAATCGACCCTTTTCCATTTCTTCATATGTTAACATATCATAGGAGGTGCAACTTTCTAATTTGACCCTAGCACCTTAACATTTTCGACAGACATCATCTTTTCAGTTCACTCTCGTTGGCAGGTTGTGGTACATCAAGCCAAAATGTTTTGGTCCCAATTGTTGCACAAATGGAACATAACCACATGGTTCTGATGCAATTATCTTAAATGGTTTCATTCCTTAGTGAGCAATAAACAAAATCATTAGCACATGGGGTGGGTGGGTGAGTAGGTGGAGAGAGGTAGACAATGAAATTCAGAAATCGGGGAGACACTTGCATTAGATTTAAAGTGATCCTTGAATAAGAACTTCACATTTTGCCTATATGTATATTGAGTAATTTACACATCCCTACTTGCAAAAATCCCCACCAGTTTACTCCAGACTACATCACATCTACTATATTTGAATGGAAAGAATTGATATTTTACATTTTTGTTATTACTAAGAACTTTCAGGTTTCCATTCCAGTTTAGAAGTTGCCCAGGTGTAGAATCAGAGCCACTCTTACCCAGACTTATAGACAAATAACACCAGTGTAAATAGGGACAGATACAAATCCAGTGATAACTTCTTAGACTGCAATTTAATTAAGGCCCTTCTTAAACCTTTAGGTTACTTTGTATGTCAATGTACATAACATTTCTATCTATAGATAATGTGGTACTGTGATTTTAACAATATCATACGTATAAACAGTAAATTACTGATCTTTCCAATGCAGAATCAATGCAAATAACATCCAGCATCATTCCCATGAATTTTCAGAACTCCCATTCAATGTAACATTCATAAATCACTCATCCTCATATCCCACTGGCCCTGCCACTTGAACTGCTAGATCTAATCAATCATTTCATGTTTTCCAAACTTAAGAATTACTGATGAGGATATCAAAGCCCACTCTTAAATGCTATCTCTGTAGAAACTTGTAGAAATGTAATTGACATAGAAAAGATTGTTTCTAGACAGGGACTATTACAGTATACTAAAAACAAATCGATAGCTAGAGTACAATGAAATAAGATGGGTCAAAAGGTATTTAACATGACTAGAGAAGATGAAAGAGGGATGTAGAAAACTGGAGTACTGGGGAAAGTAAAACCAAAATCAGACTGAGAATTCACGGCCTGGACAACACATGGGAGCAATGAGGGTCCATAAAAACAACAAGATGCACAGCCAACAGGAAGCCATTTTAATCCAGACGGTAGAGACGTTCTGAGGTTCAAACAAGTTTTCTAAATTAACTTCACGATACCTGTGAACACAGAAACATGACTGAATTGAATTTTAAAATAGGCATCATCTTTGAGGAAAGTTAGAACAAGTAAATTAGCTATTAATTACATGGTCTATTAGGCAATACGATAAATTCTCAGAATAGTTCCTTCCTTCAGATATAGTAAAAATTAAAAATACAGATGTTTGTGTTTCATTGGTGTTCATTATTTAAAATTCAACCATTTTCTCAAGACTGTTTCTTGTAACAGCAGCAAATTTCAAGTAATTAAGACATATCGCAAACATCAATTTTATCCCCATGGCCTCGACTAGTTTGCCAACTTGAAATTGACCCATTTATCCGGACTTTCTTTCCTATTAGTAAGCAAATCCTCCGTCTATTTTAATATATGTTACTTCCAACATCATGAGGTCTTAGTGCACAAGCTAAGTTTTTCTATTACACCTTGTCTTTTGGAAATCCAAAGAGTAGTACACCTACTGTTTCTCCTTTATTCAGCTGTTACATTCTCAAAAAGGACTCTAATAATATTTTCTCTTTCATAAAACCATGTTGACTCTGCCTGTGTTATGATTTTCTAAATGTCTTGCTACTGCCTCCTTGAGAAATTGTTACAATATGTTGTCAATGTTTTGAAGATAGACTAATTGTCCTATAGTTTCATGCTTTCTGTCTCCCTCCTTTCTTAAATAGTAGCATTGTGTCACATTCACAGGTTGCCAATCCACTAGGACTATTCCAGACTCTTGGGAAGTTTAGAGAATAACCAACACATTCACACTGTCTTCAACCAACTCTTTAGACTTTGACCCTGCATAACACAGGGAAGATGGGGAAAATGGTTCTTTTGCTAAGCATTTAAAAAAAAACTATGAGCACCTACCAAGATCCCAAGGCAAATAAAGTAAATAAAAAGATCACAATTTATTTCTTAGTTATTAGATATATTTCCTTCCTCAGTAAGTCTTTGTTTTTCTGACTTTTGGTGGACAATAGAAGAAAAAACCTGTAGGTGTCTTCAGAAGGAACAGGGAGGTGGAGCTCAGAGTTAGCACAGGCATTGGGCTGAATGACCACCCATTTTAAATGTGGGATTCTGCGTTTGATATCCATCAATCACATAACCCTAAATATTTCACTCCAATTTCTATTTTTATCTACAAATCACATTCTTTCAAAAATACACAGTATGGTGAACATCAAATTTCTAAAATACTGGGCAAGTAAAAGTCACCATAGTCTTACCAGACCCGAGGGATGCTCTCTCCATTAGAGAGATACACAACTGGTGGTGGATTAACTGGAAGGTCACCACACCTCTGGCAAGGGGAGAGGTTGAGGAGGAGAGTCATTCATGGTAACCTCATCCAGTGGGGGAACTGGACTCAGACTGTTGGCATTACTCTGCATTGCATCCAGCCAACTAGCTTACCAACAACCCCCAGTAATAACCTGCACAATGCAGATTCCTGTGCTACTCTAGGTCCAAGTGCATTTCACCCCCATGAAAGGGAATGATTTTGGGTAAGTGATCCATGAATCCTCAGCACAGCCCAAATCCAGACTTCAATGTAGGGAAGAAAATGCATACAGAAACCTTAGGGTTCCTTTTCTTGGCCGACTACCAACTTTTGTAGCAAAACTAAACAACATGCAGAGGGCTCCCAGGCACCAACAGATTTTGATTCATTCCACTGTTATATAAATTATTTTGATGTTCATCTATTTCTTTCCTAGTTGTATAAATAGGAGCAGTTACAGATTGATTTATTTATGCGCATAATCTGGCAGAAGAGACAAATTTATTCAGACATTCAACTGCTTTTTTTAAGAAAACATATTTCTTCATGGTGAGCACCAGAGGAAATTCAACTTGGCATGTAAATACTATCATTGTGTTCCCTACATTAAAACCATCACTACTTTTCTTCACTGCCTGCAAAACGATTTGAGGTTTAGGTACTCTACAAATGAGAGTCTTTCCTTCTACTATTACAGTAGCTTATTAAACAGAAATTGGTTGCTGTTTACTTACTGAAACCAGTTTGTTAACATCATCATCACATACAGGGAGCCAAGGAAAAAGACAAAGTGGAAGAAGGAGTAACTGTACACGACGCTGCTGTTTTCATTGTGGATCACCTTCTGGATTCCTTTCTCTGCTCCATCGATTTTATAGTTACCTGCTATATGAAAGTAGACAGGTCACTGTATGAAACCACAGAGCTATCACCTTTGTAAAATACAACAAATTAGAATGGGGGTCCCACCATTACTATTCAATCCACAAGCCAGCTCAGAGGGAACCTGGTACTATTGCAAGATTTCACAAAAAGGACACAGACGTACACTACAAGCTCTTGTCAACTGGAGGTTCTGAGCGAACATCACAGCTGCAAAGTGATCCTAGATTATTGGCTGCAAACTTTCACTCTCTAGAGTTGCAGAAGGTGACTGGTTTTTAAAAATGGGGAAGGGCCAAATGACAGGCTGTGGAGAGAAATTTAAAAATGGAGCAGATAATTATTCCACACCACCTCTTGATTGTGAATGATATTTTTGAGCCAAATTCCTGGACTGGCTCGGCTTACCTTATCAGCAAATTAAAGGAGCCAGGATCACATACATCCTGTGGGGGTAGAGATGTTATAAAAGTGACTTTGCTTAATTTTTGATAAACACGTTTGAAAGCAATTTTTCAAAGTGCTCAGCAAAAGTATATTCCAGTGAAAAGGAAGGACTGTAAGAAAAGGGGTAATCTGCCATGGGTGTCTAAAGAAATAAGGGAGGCTATCAAATTGAAAGAGAAGGCATACAAAGTGGCCAAAAACAGCATGAAACTAGAAGATTGGGAAAAAACTTTAAAGGTCAACAGAAAGCCACAAAAAGCTATAAAGAAAAGTAAGATAGAACATGAGAAAAAACTAGCACAGAATATAAAGATAGATAGCAAAAGTTTCTATAAATATATAAAACGAAAAAGAGTGGCTACAGTAAACATTGGCCCTTTAGAGGATGAGAAAGGGAATTTAGTTATGGAATATGATGAAATGGCCGAGGCATTGAACAGGTATTTTGTATCGGTCTTCACAGTGGAGGACACTAATAACATGCCAGTAATTGACAAAGAGACGAAGGTAGGTGAGGACCTGGAAACAATCATTATTACGGAAGAGGTAGTGTTGGGCAAGCTAATGGAGCTAAGGATTGATAAGTCTCCTGGCCCTGATGGAATGCATCCCAGGGTACTAAAAGAGATGGCAGGAGAAATAGCAGATGCACTGGTGGTAATTTTCCATAATTCGCTGGACTCTGGGGCAGTCCCAGCAGATTGGAAAACAGCAAAATGTGACGCCACTGTTTAAAAAGGGAAGTAGACAAAAGATGGGGAATTATAGACCGGTTAGCTTAACCTCTGTAGTGGGGAAGATGCTTGAGTCTATTATCAAGGAAGAAATAGCAAGGCGTCTTGATAGAAATTGTCCCGTTGGGCAGATGCAGCATGGGTTCATGAAGGGTAGGTCATGCTTGACAAATCTTTTGGAATTCTATGAAGACATTACGAGCAAGGTGGACAATGGGGACCCAGTGGATGTGGTGTACCTAGATTTCCAAAAGGCCTTCGACAAGGTGCCGCACAAGAGGCTACTGCATAAGATAAGGATGCATGGCGTTAAGGGTAAAGTATTAGCATGGATAGAGGCTTGGTTGACTAACAGGAAGCAGAGTGGGGATAAATGAGTGCTATCCTAGCTGGCAGTCAGTGACTAGCAGTGTGCCTCAGGGATCGGTGTTGGGACCGCAATTATTTACAATTTATATAGATGATTTGGAGTTGGGGACCACGTGTAGGGTGTCAAAGTTTGCTGATGACACTAAGATGAGTGGCAAAGCAAAGCGTGCAGAGGACTGTGAAACTTTGCAGAGGAACATAGATACATTGAGCGAGTGGGCAAAGGTCTGGCAGATGGAATACTATGTAAATAAATGTGAAGTCATACATTTTGGTAGGAGTAATAGTAAAAAGGATTATTACTCGAATGGTAAAAAGTTGCAGCATGCTGCTATGCAGAGGGACCTGGGTGTCCTTGTGCATGAATCACAGAAGGTAGGTCTGCAGGTACAACAAGTAATTAGGAAGGCAAATGGAATTTTGTCCTTCATTGCTAAAGGGATTGAGATTAAAAGCAGAGAGGTTATGTTGCAGCTGTACAAGGTGCTGATGAGGCCACACCTGGAGTACTGTGTGCAGTTTTGGTCTCCTTACTTGGGAAAGGATGTACTGGCACTGGAGGGGGTGCAAAGGAGGTTCACTAGGTTGATTCCGGAGTTGAAGGGATTGGCTTATGAGGAGAGACTGAGTAGATTGGGATTATATTAATTGGAATTCAGAAGATTGAGGGGGGATCTTATAGAAACATATAAAATTATGAAGGGAATAGATAAGATAGAAGTAGAGAGGATGTTTCCACTGGCAGGTGAATCTAGGACAAGAGGGCATAGCCTCAAGATTAGAGGGAGCAGATTTAGGACTGAATTGAGAAGGAACTTCTTCACGCAGAGGGTTGTTAATCTATGGAATTCCTTGCCCAGTGAAGTAGTTGACGCTACTTCAGTAAACGTTTTTAAAGATAAGGTAGATATTTTTTTGAACAATAAAGGAATTAAGGGATACGGTGAGAATGCGGGTAAGTGGATCCGAGTCCACGGAAAGATCAGCCATGATCTTACTGAATGGCGGAGCAGGCTCGAAGGGCCGGACAGCCTACTCCTGCTCCTAGTTCTTGTGTTCTTTATGTTCGTGAAAAATTACACAGAAATCACATCTGTCAAACAGATGATTCCTTTCAGGGTTTTATATATCCCTAATTCTGCCATTGCATGCTCAATGTAAAAGAAACTCTAGTTAATTAAACACAGCAGTGATAAACTGCATCAGAGATAGTAGGAACTGCAGATGCTGGAAAAGCTGAGATAACAAGGTGTAGAGCTGGATGAACACAGCAGGCCAAGCAGCATCATAGGAGTTTCGGGCCTAGACCCTTCATCAGAAAAATAACTGCGGCTCTTAAAAGAGAAACAGCAACTAAAAATAATGCAGTTTGCGGTTTCTACTGAACGCTGGCACTGAAACACAAATAAGTTTCTTTTCAAAATAAACTATAAACAAAACCAAAATAAAAAGAACTTCAACCTGAATGCTATTGCCTTTTACGAGGGGAATACTTAGGCTTCATGCTTGAAAAGTTTCACGATGCTGTTCCTGATGGCAGAGAATGGGATAGTCTGGGGCAAGGTGATGGTGTAGTAGTATTGTCAGTGGACTAATAACGTGCTGCAGACGCAGGTTCAAATCCTACCATGGCAGAAGGTGAAATTTCAATTCACTAGATATCCACAGTTCAAAATGTCTAATGTGATCACGAAGCCATTGTCGATTGTCATTAAAACCCTATCTGGTTCATGAATATTCTTCAAAAAGGAAACCTTTGCCTGGTAAGCTTTAGATTTATTAAACCTGATCTACATGTGGCTCCAGACCATTCAGCCAGGAAGTTGCTCCAAATGCCCTCTGCAATGGAGGAAGCTAGTTTTATCAATTGTCAAATAATCTCAAGAAAGGAACGAAACCAAATGGACCATTTGGCATCAACTAAAACAACGGAAACAAAACAACAACAATCAACAGTGCCCCATTAATCCTGCAAAGTCCTCCTTACCAACATCTGGAGACTGGTGTCAAAACTGGGAGAGCTTCCCATTGGCATACGCAGACTCACAGCATCTTATTTTACACCAGCAGTATTATCCCCAGGTTTGTCATGTCCCAGCAGCAGGTGGTGGGCACAATGGTGTACAGTCAGGAGGGAGTTACCCTGACAGCCCCTTATATTGAAAATTCATGGTGTCCAGATTCATTGCATCAGCTCAAATATTGGCAAGGAAACCTGCTGATTACCATGTACAGGCACCCATCGGAGGAGTTGAGAATACCTTACATCATGTTTTATGACACTATGACAGTTCCAAAGCAACAAACTTTTGAATAGATCTATTAACTTGAGACTGGTCATAGCAGCAGCAGAAGAATCCTACTCCAGTACAAACTGCAAACGGTGTGATGGAGCATACCCCTACTATATCATCACCCTGGGTAAATGGAGATTAGTGAAGGAGGGCATTCCACGTGTCAGGCATAAATAAAAATGAAGCATCAATCTGGTGAAACTACAAAACAGGACTACTTGCCTGCAAACAGCAAACGCAGCCAGCAGCAGACAGAGCTAAGCGTTACCACAACCAACGGATCAAGCTCATCTTTTGCACTGATGTGCTGGGCTCCCCATCATCAAGGATAGGGATGTTTGTGGAGCCTGTTCCTCCAGTGGGTTGTTTAATTGTCCATTGTGATTCATGACTGGATGTGGCTCAAAAACAGAGCTTCGATCGGATTGATAGTGATGGCGTTACTTAGCTCGGTCTATTACTTGCAGCCTACTCTGTTTAGCTCAAGTAGCCAGTTGCTTAGCTTTGCCTTCAATGAATATTAAAAACAAACAAACACTTTTCCAATATCATATCTTTGTGGCATTTCAGAGTTTCCGAACATTTAATAAAAACTGATCCTAAAACTTGTCCTTGTCTCAATTCTCTCAAAATTGTATTGGTTTTGGATGGAGCATGTAGGACAAAATTGTAACAGCAGAAAGGAGTAAACAAGGGGAGAGCCTTCTCACTAACTCAGCATAAAACATTACACAACTTGTCTGATCATTTATATTTAAACAAACAAAAGAGGATGTGAAGAGCCATGGATTACTGTCTGAACATCACTGGAAATGTGCTTATAAAATCCGAAATCCCTGATATAATGATCACCTTGTCCCCAGATGAAATAAATCACCACTAACTACAACTGGAGGCAGCGGGAGCAAAACTGCACATTGTTGGAATCATAAAGCCAACAATTTTGTATTTGCTGATTCTCGTAGATCTGAAAGTCGGGTTTGTTATAGAAGAGACAAGCAATTGTGATTTTGCCTGCTTTGTGTGTGTTCCTAGCAATGACTGTTTTCACTCCCAATTTATGGGTTTACAAATTCAAGTAATGGAGGATTGGAGCTTACCTTCCTCATCTGGTACAAAGCAGAAGCAGCAGCGAGCTTCCTGTAAGATAATGAGGAGTTACGTTAACAGACTGCTAATATATCAAACCAGATCTTGGGCAGGATTGTTATCATTCCAACACATACTAGTATTGAATGAGTCACATCACTGGGTGAATGAGTCACTCGGCAGTAAGAACTGGAGCGTGGTTAACAAAATGTTGAAGCTTTTCATAGTCATACAGACAGAAACAGACCCTTTGGTCCAACCAGTCCTCGCCAACCATAATTCCAAACTAAACTAGTCCCACATGCCTGCACTTAGCCCATATCCCTCCAAACATTTCTTTATTCTTCTACTTATCTAAATGTCTTTTAAATATTGTTACTGTACTTTCATCCACCACTTCCTCTGGCAGTCCATACCATACAAGAACTACTCTGTATATAAAAAAAAAATTTTTCTCTTCACACCTTAAAAATAAGTCCCCCAGACTTGAAATCCCACACTGTAGAGAAAATACACCTGCCATTCACCTTATCTGTGCCCCTCAGGAATTTATAAACCCCTAAACGTCCCATGTTCTAGTGAAAATAGTCCCAGTCTATCCAGTCTCTCCTTATAACTCAAGCCCTCCATTCCCAGCAACACCCTAAATCTCTTGTGAATCCTCTCCAACTTAACAATATACTTCCATTTTCATCTTGCATTATCAGGACAGAAGCTAGAATGTGAAATTTCAAGGAGTGCAGCATTTTACTACATTTTAAAAGGGTGTTGGCTGGTGGGCAAGTTGACTTTGATTGGTCAAGGGGTTGCCAAGGAGAAGTTGTATGTAATCTTATGTAGGGTCCTAACCTTTTCCTCCTACAGGCAAAAAGAACATGTCTAGGCATTGCAGCTTTTTTTGAAATTAAAAATACGCATGGGGTAGCAACAGCTGCTTGGTGCATTCGCCATGGCAACACCTCAACTAGAGTCAACCTGCCAACCAATCAGCAAACTTTTCCATTGCATATCCCCTACTTCCTTTCATTTATCCTGATGAGTACAAGACAAAAAGCTTTGACAGAATGTAGGCAGCTTTAAATTAACTTGTAATTTTTATCTTGTGTAAAAAAAAAAAGTAGCCTGAGTTTGGTGCCCTTCATTTATTCTTCAGATCAGGACACAATCCTGTAGAAGATGTACAACAGGCACTCAGTCATACCTATAAAAGGCACTGCATTGCATTATTGTGCCCCCAAACAAGACAGCACCCATCATTCAGTGCTTAATGCTCCCATTATGGAGTAGAAAGGGATAAGAAAATAGCATGTGGCTTAGGGATAAACACAAGTAAATCCGTATTCCCCTATATCACAGCACAGTGCATTTGATTCTTGACAAATATTGATAAAAGCACATTGTAGGGGCATCTCCCTCTCCAGGACTGAAACTGTTCAAGACACACTTTCCCAAGACCAAACATGGATGTTCAATCTTTTGTAGTTGAACTGCTTATCATTTGTTCTTATTTCACAAGCTCACATTAAGACTGACAGACTGCACATCAGTCCCAGAAGTGAAGACGGTGATGACAACCGTTACACAGTGATGATAACCGCTATGTATTGAAAAAGCTTACTCAACACTTTATTCAATGTGATTGCAACACTGGGACCTTTTTTTATTTCAACACCATTAACAAAAGCATCATGCAAGAGAAGCTGTGGGTAAATTAGACCTCAAGTATGCAAATGTATGTGTAAATATGCAGATTGAGTCAGTGTTTTTACAGCATGGAAAAAGGCCATTTGGTCCATTATGTTCTCACCAGTCATTAAGCGTCTATCTATTCATATGTCATTTTAGAGAACTTGGCCTGCAGCCTTGAATGCTATGGCATTTCAGATGCTCGATACTTCCCAATTGTCTTGAGGGTTCTTGCCTCTGCCACCAGTTAGTGGCAGATACCCAGCACCTCTGGGTGAAAACATTTATCCTTCAATCCTTTCTAAACCTCTGCTTACTTTAAAATTGATCCCTCTACTCAGGGGAGAAGTTTCTCCCTATCGAGGTTTCTGATGCTATTCAGTACTTGGGCACTGGCATTGGCATGACCACAAATGCATATTAACAGAGTATTTACACACACACACACACACACACACACACAGAGAGAGGAGAGAGAGAGCGAGCAATTTAGTCTATTTGAATCTGCATCAACTGGAATTTTTCAGTTACACACAATGCATACATCTATAATTATACAGACTCCACCCACCAAACCCTTAACATAAATATTTCGCAAGGAGTAAACTAATAAATTCTATTAAAATAACAATTTTAAAACACATTTCTGAAAAAGGGAACCACCAGATCATAGACAGAAACTTTGCACAGAAATGTTTGTTTGGAAATGTATAACCTTCACTGCAGCTTGAGGGAATAAAAGGTTGAAAAATTAAGACACACCCAAGATCTGCAATACCATTCAGACTTGAACTGACCAATTTTCAATCTTATGCAATTAGCAGGAAATGAAATGAAATGAAATGAAATCTCTGTCAGACCTACATTCTGAAATGGATTTAAAACTGGAAAATTCCTTCCGAAAATCAAGTCAAGGCAGATTTTTACAAAAAGTTAATTTTAAAAGAACAAGCTACCGTTTTTTTTAAAATGATAGCTCTCACTTAACTAGTGGTTATAATTTCAAATGAAGAAAGTGGTATCTTAAAATATCAACATCACTTTCTAAGATATTCTAGCCAAATGCTACAAAATGTTAAACTCCAACAAAGATGCAACTGGGTGATATACTTCATACTTATACTTCATGCATTCCACTCCCTATCCCACACCCCAATTAAATCAGTGCACCCTGGATAAATGTGCCACATTATTTGCAAGGGACATAAGTCAATGAATCAGCATTGGAATGTGTGTAAATCAACAGCATACCAGGTTGAAGCAAATATTCCACTTTGGCAAATCAGATATATACTTACAGTTGGTTTAGAGTTTGGAACAGTGCTCACCCCCAGGGTAGCTGAGCTGGAACGAGTTGTTGAAGTTAGACTAAAAGAACAAACAAAGAAATATTTTTTTTCCCCCGGAAATGAGGTTGGAGTTTTTGGTATTCCATTTGAGAATCCATTAATCAAAAAGTCTGAACAGAACTATGTGTCACATCTCCACTCCCACATTTTTCCAGATTGTAGTCGTGTAAATATCTCTCAGCATAGAGGCCAAATCCTCCCCCAAACCATGTGTTCATTGTCTACGTGCATTTCTTAGTTCCATCATTAAAACACTTAATTTACATAATACGTCTCCTCCAGCAGCTGCAATATAGCAGTGTCTCTTCTAACGCCCTCCTGCCAGCACCCTAGTCTTATTGTTTCCACTTGTCCTTTAACTCCATGAATGTATTTTTAGAACAGTCCATGACAGCCAAGCTCAGGTCATAGTGAACACCCTGAAAACTGGCTGAGATTTGGCCAGCTCAACTCTTTTTCTAAGCAGGCTGCTTAACAGTAATTGGACAGAGAGAATTGGAAGTGAGGAGCCTCCCACTAAACATTCAGTGAGTGTTGCATTTGTAAATATCAACAGCAACTTTCGTTAACACCCCCCTCCCCCGTCTGTGATAAAAGAGGGTTCTTCGACGTGTTACCAATGATTGGACCTTATGAAAATATATGTCAGTTTTCACTCTTACAATTAACGAGGCCAAACCTGAAGCCATCCAAATATTTTTAAAATAGCTGTTTTCAGACATTACCTTCTGCATTCCAACCCCAAATTTCTTTTTAAAAGATTATTTTAATTTAAAATGTTGAAAGAAAAAAAAATTTGAGGAACAGATAAAGTCAGGACTCCAAATGACTGTTGGTGTTTAGAATGCAGCATTCAGGCATTATAATGTTATTTAGCATCTTGGACCCGTTCTCACTTCACCCATCATCTTGTACATTCCATGACAATGAGATAAAATGGGCTGTACAATTACAAATTCTAACAACGCTTCAAATACCATCAGCAACATTTATATTAACTTCTGATGTGGTGGATGGGAGCTTACACATGTATACATTTATTTTAAAGACTTACAAGCTTTATTTAATGTGCCGCCTCCAATTTAGCAGCTGAAACCAAAATTAGAATTGAGGCATTTAAGAGGGCATTGGATGACTTTTCTTAAAAATTGAAACAATGTACAAAAGGTATGAGGAAAAGGCAGAGGATGACACTGAGCCATGAAATGCATTTAAACAGCCGGTGCAGATACAATGGGCTGAACAGCCTCCTGAATCATGACACTTGTGGTTCCAGGAATGCTCCGAAAGCTGGTTTGCATCAATGGACTATTTGACTGGAAGGGCTTTCTCAATCCGCGTAATAAATATGAGCAAGATCAATGCCAAAGTCTGAGCCTGTAACTATACCCAGATTCTGTTTTCATTCCTGTTTTGAAGTGCCAAACAATAGATGAACTTACCAGGCATAGAGCACACAGCCATACATGATAATGGCTCCCAGCACAGAAACAAGCTTGTCATCTGTTTGAAGGCCTTTGCCCAATAACTGAGGAATGCATATTGTAGTGTTCATTCCTTGCTTCATAACTGAAGAGAGAGTAAAAGACATTGAACACCACCAAACCTTTAGAGAAGCAACAAATCCATTTAAAAGCAATAATAAATTTATTGCACAATATATACATTTCTAAACAAAAGTTTGCAAGTACCAATTTCTGGAGGTGAATTGGCCAACGCAGAGAACGTAAGATACATCACATAACAGCTGATTACTCCTGACTGCAGGAGACCGGAGTTAGGCTGATCTGAAAGAAATGCAAACAGGGAATCATTTAAAAGAATTAGGCAAGACAAATAACTGATGTATGAAATACATGCAGCAAGGACTAATATCCTCCCTTTAATCAAATAGAATAGGGGTCAGTTAGCTAGAGAGCTAGCGAATGGATCAGATTTGTGCCAACAGCATGAGACTTAATCCCTGTTGTGGCCGATGTCAATGCAGTACAGGTCTCCTTGCCCAATTTGTAGTACTTGCTGCGGTTCAGCAAAAAAAAATAAAAAACCAAGCACTTGCCTTCAGGAAAGGAACTTAAGAAGAAAATGAAACAGAGCAGACTCCTACTCAGAATGAGTTGTGCCTTGTAAATGGTGGGCAGGTTCTGGGGAGTCAGGAGGTGAGAGTTACATGCTGCTTTTAAGTGCTGCCCAATCACATTGCCTCATGACAGATTTTATGTTTGGTGATATCAAATATATTTGAGCAGATAAGTGAGACAGAAAAAAAAACCCTTTCAAAACTGTTGCAAACTTGGGTGCAAACTGTGTTATGCTGCTGGCTGCAGTCTAAGCTGAAACTTTATAATTGGATATCCAAAGATTTTAGTGAAAAACAAGATTTGTGCTGTCATTGCGTCACATGGACGGAATTCGAGGATTATGAAAGTATTTAAATTTTTTTTTTTAAATCGAAAAAGAAGTGTGTTCTGGAACAGAAGTCCCAGTCAGTCAATTGCTGTGTTGAATATTATTTAAGAATACTTCTACCACCCCCTTTCCCAAGTCACCCTACCAGACTGTTTCACACTCCAACACCTGTCAATACAGAATCTTTAAAGATTTTTGAGCAGAGATAGAAGGATGTACAATGGAGGTTAAAATCAGATCAGCCATGACCTTATTGAATGGCGAAGCAGGCTCAAAGGCCCAGATAACCCACTCTTACTCTTTGTTAGAGTTGTGTGTCGTATGTGTTAGGGAAGCCCATGCCGAAGCAGTATAAAATGGCTGAAAGTGGTTCTGAGTTGTCATAAAATGGCAGAGGAAGGTTTTTTGCCGAAATAGCAGCTTCCATACTTTGCTGTTGGAAATTAAACTATAAGCAAGAATAATAGCTGCCTTCAAAGAAGGAGTATATAAAGGTAACTAGATTAAGATAACACACAAAGGGTGTTGCGAAATGTATGCAATGGGCCCTGTGGAACAAAAGCAGATGTACAGACAAGTAGATCAAGGTACAGCTTTGAGGAATAGGGACAGAAGCCTTGTACCAGGTAGTCCAAACTCTGCTATTCATTATAGGATAGAAGGGAAGGGTCTGACCACGCACTGATCACATGGTATTGAGACACACAGGTAATTGGATGAGCTGTTAGATGACAGCCTACTGAAACAGGCTGAGTAACTGTATTTAAACTGCACGTTTTCCTTTGTTCAGTGGTGAAGTCCCTGTACCACCCAGAGAACCTGTCCCCAGCAGTGTAAAACAATAATGTTTGATGTTTGAAGTGGGCCTGCATGTCGAATGATTTAGTCATTCAACCGCATCAGTTTGCAATACACACAAGCAAAACGTATCCTTATGCACTCTTATGTGGGGAAGTATGGCACAGATGACCATTAAATCATTGCTTTAAAATAAGTTTCACTCTGAGACTTGTACAAAAGATATACACAAAACAAAGGACCAGTCACTAACAATGTGTTTGAGACAGACAACTGGGATGTCACACACAGGATGCCGAATCACTGGAATATTGCACTGATGCCAAAACACACTGTGCCACACAAAATGGGATGTCTATTATACAACAGAAATGCTGTAGATTAGCTTGTGGAAGGAATTTCAGAACATGAAGTATTGTGCGTCAAGGATAGCAGGGAAGTGTGTTAGTACAAAGCATCATCTTAAATGGAAACACTTCTAACCTTTGGTAACAAGGGCATGCCTTATGTAGGTGAGAGCACACACCTTATCCTCACTAAGCACTGTGTGACTTTATCTGATGATTTCCCTTCAGATATGGGTTTCAAAACCTTCCCACAACCTAAATCAATTTCCGATCAGACTGGATTTCTTTCCTTCTGAACAGCAGATATGATTTTCACTTTTTGTTCTTCTAATAGAGAGTTGTGTCACCTCTCCAAAATGTCTCAGAACAATGTCCAGTTATTTCTGCATGGGACGGTGTAGCACAAACTAACAATTCATAACCACTTCTGTCACAGTACGAGCACATAATCTAGCGCTATGAATACAAGGTTTCTTTTTAAAAAAAGTAAACACTTCCCATACCTATATCACTATTGGGTGTGGGAATTGATAAGGTGCAGATTAATTATGGAATGAGAAAGTAACAACATTTTGGTCACATCACAAAATAGATTGGAGACAGGTATCAAGCACTATTTTGAATAGGGAAATCAACTACGCAAAGAGCAGCCAAAACAGATCAACTCATTCCCTACAGACAGCCATGAGACCCTGTCCTGCCCCGTCCAAAACACAAACCAGTAGGAATAGTGACATGAGAGATCAGACACACTAAAATAGCAAATAAAGAGAGAAAAATTTGACAGCATTAACATATTAGCCACTTAGCACATGTGAAAATAGAAAGGATTGGATTTTCTGAGTAGATTGCCACTCTGGGCCATTCAAAATAAGGGACTATGCATTTCTGAACAGAGATTCTGTTCAAGGACCCTTCAGAAATGCGGAGCCATACTTCCATTCTGTCAGTTCTTTCATAGCATGATAGCGCCTTTTCACACCAGTCAGTTGCCAGATATAAAGACCATGAAAGTCTCTTTGACAGCTGCTGATATTTGGTAAGTACATAACCCAAATGTGATGTTAGGGTGCAGGGAGGGTAGGGTGATAGAATGCCAGCTGAATAGACATAGGGTGCCTGCAGTAGGATACCAGACGATGTCTCCAAACGTTTCAAGCATATTGTTAAAGGCAAGATTGAGAAGCCAGAAATTATTGTACACATTGGTAGGAATGACATTTTTAGGGAAAAGATTAAAGCAGTATAGACTGAATTTAAGATGTTACGTAGAAGATTAAACAAAATAGAACCTTAAAATTAGTAATGTCTGATTTACTCCCAATGCCAAACTCAAATGAGGGAAGGAACAAAAAAGTTAAAGGAGATAAATCAGTGGCTAAAGAACTGGTGTATTGTTCAGGGATTCAGGTTTTCAGACAATTGGAATGTCTTTTGGGGACAGAAAAGACCTGCTCAAAAAAAAAAGCTGAGCCTACCCTAAACTGGAAAGGGACCAATACTTCAGTAGGGAGATTTGCTCATCCTATTAAGGGAGACTTTGTACTGATAGTGGAGGAATTCTAAGTAGCAGTGTAAACAGAAGGATTGATGGGGAAGGTTCCGAATATGAGGACACCACATTAATTAGAAAAGAACGACAAGAGAGATTCAAAGTATGTAGTAACTCTGAAGAACTAAATTGCATTTATTTCAATGCTAGCGGTCTTACAGGTAAGGCTGATGAACTCAGGGTATGTTTAAGAACATGGGATTGGGACATCATAGCTATTTCAGAAACCTGGCTGAGAGACGGACCAGACTAGCAGCTCAATGTTCTGGGTTTTAGATTCTACAGGAAGGATAGAAAAGGAGGTAAGAATAAGGAGGTGGGGGAGGGGGGTGGTGGAGTGTGCATTTGAGTAAGAAAAACAGTAATTACAATTATTGTTGTAATTAGGGAAGATATTTCTAAAAAAGCACCCAGTGAAAATATAGGAGTAGAAATTACAAATAAGAAAGGAAAGATCACTTTGATGGGATTGTACTATAGGACCCCCAATAGTAAGACAGAAAAGATTTCGATGGTGAAGAATTTGTCAAACATGTTCAAGAAATTTTTTTTTTTTTTTTAAATCAACATGTGGATGCTCGTCCTGGAGAAGGAGCAAAACTAGACCATCTTTTGGGCAATAAGGGAAGGGCAGGTGACTGAAGTAAAAGTGGGGAAACGCGTTGGGTCTAGCAACTATAATTCTATTAGTTTCAAAATGGTTATGGAAGTGGGTAAGCCTTCCATAAAAGTTAAAAGTTTTTAAATTGGAGTAAGGCAAATTTTAATGGTATGAGACAAGAATGTTCAAAAGTTGATTGGAGTGGACTGTTCACAGGTATAAGGACATCTGACAAGTGGGAGGTGTTCAAGAGTGTGATGGCCAGAGTTCAGAGGCATTATGTTCCTGTTAGACCGAAGGGCAAGGCTGGTAAGATTAAGGAACAATGGATGAATAGAGATATTAAGGTTCTAGTCAAGAATAAAACAGAAACTTATTTTAGATATAGACAACTTGGTTCAATTGAATCTCTTAAATCAATTGAAAGAATGTAGGGGCATTCTTAAGAAAGAAATCAGGAAGGCAAAGACAGGATATGGAATAGCATTGGCAGATAAGGTTAAGGATAATCCAGAGGGATTCTACAAATACATTAAGAGCAAGAGGGTAACTAGAGAGGGGCTAGCGCCTCTTAAAGATCAGGGAGGTCATCTTTGTGTTGAACCCTAGGAGATGGGAGAGAAATTAAAAGATTATTTCGCATCAGTTTTTATTGTGGAGAAAGAAATGGAGTTTTAGAGAATGCAGAGAAACAGTTCACATTACAGAAGAGGAAGTTTGGGAGGTTTTAAAGTACATAAAGGTGGCTAAATCTCCAGGACCTGATCTAACGTATCCCAGAACATTACAGGAAGTAAGGGAGGAAATTGCAAGACCTCTTGCAGAAATACTTGCATCATCTGTAACTACAGGTGAGGTACCTGATGACTGGAGGGTGGCTAATGTTGTACCTTTAAGAAAGGTTGTAAGGAGAAACTGAGGAACTATAGCCCTGCGAGTCTGACTTCAGTTGTGGGTAAATTGTTGGAGCCGATTACAAAAAGGTAGGATTTATGGGCATTGAGAGGAAAACTTTGATTAGGGATAATCAGCATGATTTGTGCAAGGAAAATCATATCTCACAAACTTGATCAAAATTTTGGAGGAAGTTACCAAAAAGACTGATGATGGCAGCGCAGTTGACGCTGATTATTTGGATTTTAGTAGAGCATTTGACAAGTTTCCACATGGTAGACTAATTAAAGTTAGGTCACACGGGATTCAGGGTGTGCTTGCCGATTGGATACATAACTGGCTCAATGGCAGGAGAACAGAGAGTAACAGTGGAGGGTTGCTTTTCGAACTGGAGGCCTGTGACCAGTGGTGTTCCACAGGGATCGGCTCTGGGTCCTCTTTCGTTTGCCATTTATATAAATGATTTGGATGAAAATATAAAAGGTATGGTTAGTAAGTTTGCAGATGACACCAAAATTGGTGGCATAGTAGATGGTGAAGAAGGTTTTCTAAGATTACAAAGGGATCTTGATCAAATGGGTCAATGGGCTGAAAAATGACAGATTGAATTCAATCTGGATAAATGTAAGGTATTGCATTTTGGTACAACAATCAAGGGTAGGGCCTGGACAATTAATGGTAGGGCCTTGGGTAATGTTGTAGAACAGAAGGACCTATGGGTGCAGGTCCATAATTCTTTGAAGTTTGTATCACATATAGACAGGGTGGTTTAAAAAGGCATTTGGCACACTTGCCTTCATTGCTCAGTCCTTTGAGTATAGGAGTTAGGAAGTCATGTTGAGGTTGTACAGAACATTGGCGAGGCCTCACCTAGAATATTGTGTCCCGTTCTGGTAGCCCAGTTATAGGAGAGATACTACCAAGCGGGAGAGGGTTCAGAAGAGATTTACCAGGATGTTGCTAGGTATGGAAGGTTTGAGTTATAAAGAACGGGTGGGACTGTTCTCACTGGAGTGTAGGAGGTTTAAGAGGCGGCCTGATAGTAGTATATAAAATGATGAAAGTTATAGGTAGAGTTAATGGTAGTCCTCTTTTCCCTAGGATGGGGGAATTTCAAGACAAGGGAGCACATTTTTAAGGGAGAAAGAAGAGAGATTTAAAAAACGAACGTGAGAGGCAATTTTTTTTGTTTTACACAGAGGGTAGTTTGTGTGTGGAATGAACTTCCTGATGGGTGGTGGCTGCAGGTACAATTACAACGTTTAAAAGACATTTGAATAGATACATGAATAGGAAAGGTTAAGGGATATGGGCCAGGAGCAGGCAGGTGGGACTAGTTTAGTTTGGGATTATGTTCAGCCTGGACTGGTTGGACCAAAGGGTCTGTTTCCTTGCCATATGACTCTGAGAATGGTGTAGAGTGCCAGCTTTGTATATGGTAGTGCGCCAAGTGGGTAGGATACCAAGTGGGAGGTGTGCAAGGTGGTAAAAGGGCCATATAAGTGATGTAGTGATTAGGGTGGGTTGGAGTGAGCAGAAATCGGGTCCAGCATGAAGTACTGGAGATTGGGTCAGATCTAGTAGGGGGCGGGGGGGTGGGGAAATCTGGAAGCCGGGATTGGATTGGATATGGTGGTGGGGATTGAAGGAGGGGGTGATTGGTACAAATGTAGAACAGTTGTGGGACAGGAGGGAGTATATCTGCCATTGGGAGATGGGTGTCAGTTCAATTCTGAGGCAGGAATAAGGGGAGTCCAGGGGGAAGAGTGGGGAACGGTGATTGGGTCCCAATGTGGGGAAGGGTTATTGGGTCATGGGGAGATACATGAGAGGGGAGAGGGGGGCAGATGGAGTATGGGATTAGTTCATGAATTAGACAACCAAGATTTAATTGTCTAATTTAGCAGGAGCAACTATTTTACTTAGTTTCAACAGAACCTTTCAATCCTCCAATTTGAATGGAGACTTTTGAGGGGTTCCAGATGTAGGGAAATTGCCAGAGCAAAATCCAATTTGCCAGGTAATTCCTTTGACGTGTACTACAATGGGGCTTCCACAAGATTCCCACACACAATTCCCATTTACACTGGAATGACGACAGTCTGACCATCAGAAAATCCAGGCCAATTTTTTTCTTTTTAAAATACTTTACAATTGTCACATTTCAAACAAACAATTGAGTTTCACATCACATCTTAGTAACTTTTCTCAAGCAGATCCGAGTTGAACATAAAAACACTAGTTCATTGGAGTCAGGATTCAAAATTATCAACTCACATTTTTGTACACAGGGTGTAATTGCTACCATGGAGACGATGAAGCAGAGGCTGGTGTTGACACCCAATAAAATCTTGTTTAGTGTGCAGCCTTCAGGATCAGTGTAAAATATCACCATCAGAACAACAGCACAGACAGCAACCGAGTAAAGAATGAGTGTAACTAAGGCCAAGGCAGCGTACCAACACTTATTGTTTGCTGTTCCAGCCCACCTATTAAAAAGACAAAAGAAACAAGAAATAATTGTCATTTGGTAGCAGACAGGAAACAAAAGCCCACACATTATAATCAGACAGGAGATACAGTGCCTACGGCCTTAGAAGTTTATTAAAATGCTGCAGAGAGAGAGCACCTTTCACTTCAACTAATGCACTGTAACCCTTTATATCAGGAAGTAAAAGCTCTCTATTTTTACTCAAAAAGAGATGGTATCCCTTGAGAGCTTTCCATTGTCTCCCTTCATCTTGGATTAAATAAGCCAGCCAGTGTCTATTCTAAACTGCTGGCAATGTTGTTCCGTAATCATTTGCGAGAGACAGCCCACAAGCTATTTTCAATGTCACTTCAGGGTTCCCCTTCAGAATGCAGGAAAAAAAACATAACCTGCCCTTTCAGTCGCCATCCTGCCTGACACTGGAAACTAGTTCATGTGGAACTACTGGTGAAGCCACACCACCAAAGTTGTAGGGTAGATAGCCCATTCCATGGGTTAATTATACTTACACTTGAGAAATGCTGACACCTATATACAATATGACCATGTATCCTGTTTGCAGGAGAGAACAGACATACATTAAATATGTAGGCTCATCTTTGACTGTGCTGGAAGCAATAGTTTTAAAAGCCGAACAGCTCATTCATTCATTCCTGGTCCTTAAAGAACAACTGTCCTAAGGGATGTGAGGAAAAAGGAGAATCCTTCCTAACTGGCCTTCCTGCTAATTGGGCAAGTAGTCAGGTGGCTTGTCATTGTAGGCTTATCCCCATCCTTAAATAGCTTTCTCCTTCCTAGTGAGATGTTTGCACTTAAGTAAGTGAAAGGTACTTTAATGCACAATATCATCCAGACACTAAAGAATAATAAAGTTAGTCTAACTTCAATGCAGCCAGCTTTGTGCCCTCCTCATCCATACAAAATATCCAAATAAGCAGAAAATGTCATCTCCAATGTAGCCAATTATCTAAGGATTGTCAATTTGTTTCATTTTTGTTGAGTTGATAACAGCTATTTGTGTGTGTATCATGACTAAATTGATGCTGAGATTTCACTGTCATGTTGAGAATGTTAAGAATGTACACACACACACACACACACACGATGACCAGAACCCAATATTCAAACTCAAATAGTTTCAAGACAGTAGATGCTAGCTCCAACTCTCTCTTAACAGGAATGGATCCCAGTCTCAGAAACAAACATTGTGACATTACAACCATCTGGTTGAAGAAAGAAAGAAGGTTTTCTCACTGTTTCCAAACAATCCAGAGCATATAAAAAACATGAGGAGTTTATAGATTATTTTGCTGTACATCTACAAATCTAGTGACAACTTTTTTGGACTTTCTATTCAAGCCGCAACGGCCTTCCTAGTCTCAAAAAAAAAGCGCTTCAAGAGAAGTAACTTACCAGGTTTTGTTCCATTTGTGTGCAAACTCCACGAGCAATATGAGCTGGATTAGAATGAAGAGGAAGGCTCCAGCAACACCAATGTATAGCCATACTGTTTTCAATAAAAGGAAAACAAATCATTAGTAACAGACTACTTTATGAAATTAATGGGTCAGAAGTACAAAATTCATTTCTTCATGGGTATTATGGTTTACAAAAAACAGTTACTGTGCAGGGCACTGAATGAGCTCTGCCATTAGTTTGAACCTGAACATGCCTGAACAAGTTTTGAATCACAAGTTGTGAGTTGATAATTGCAGGGTAAGGCAAGCAGAACAATCAACTACCAATACATCTCCTTAACAAATCAGATGGAAGAATTAAGAAATAAAGCGAGGATGGATGTACAGTAATGTGTAAATTAGAGTGGGTAAATTCAATATTAAAAATGTACAAAAAGAACAATAAAGGAGGAAATAAGGGGGAAAAAGACAGACAAAACAGAACACGTTTTTAAAATTGTCCAAATACATTTAAAACCTGAAGGAATTAATCTCCACACTGAATATTTAATTTTCACTGTTGGCAGTAATTGACTATTATTTCATTTAGTAATTTGACAGCACAGAACTTGAGTATAGTTGAAAAAATATATACATTTGGTGAAACTGTGTCTTGCACTCATCAGGACAATTTGCAATCCAAGTAAAGGGAAAACAACAGTTGTATTGTATTGTATGAGAAAAGAATGTTCATTGGTTGGTAAGTTGACACTGGTAGAGATGTTATTATGGAACATGCATCAGTTTACAATGACTGATAGTTAACTGCTAAATTTTAAAATGTGTTCTAAATTTTAAACTAAGCAGATTGACTTTGATTGGCTATAGCATTCCTCTGAGAAATGAACCAGAGAATGCTGTCACCAATTTTGCCGAGTTGAAACAGGCACGATGTACGCATCTTCTTTCTATCTCGAAATAACAGGGCCCTATGTACTAATGTATGTAGCTTTTAGTACACAGGTGTGTCATATTGTCAGCCCTACACAATCCTATAGGGGTGGCCAGCATATACATAGGATTATATAAAGAATGTTACCCAATTGTACAATTGCATCTCTAATATTGGACAATATATTTTCAAGTGAGGGCATTTGAGTAAGTTCAATACCTTACTTGTTGAGAATGCCAAAGAGCCCTGCGGTTTGAGGAGATCTGCCAGTTTCTGGGAAAGACAGTCTATATAACAGAATCACATTGGCCCTGAAGTTCTTACACCACATTTTGTATTTGTGCAATAGAATGTCCTTTGACTTAACAGCAGCATCCTACCAGAGGCAAATACCAGTCCTGTTACTACTACATTGTAGCAGCATGAAAATCCTGTTTATTACTTCCTCAAAAAGCTCCAATTAATTTTTCCAGGCATTATTACCCCTTTTATGAAGCCAGGACTCTGACTGATTGTATTATGCATTTATTTCTAAATGTTCTACTGTTACATCCTTTATAATAGACTAACATTTTCCCCAATATGCACAGACATTATGCTAACTTGCCTATAGTTACCTCCTTTTATTGTCTCTCTCTCTGTTTAAATTCACATACTTGGGAATTCTAAAAGGTATACTGAGCTCTCTTCAGGACCTTAGGTACATTCAAGAGCTGATTGCTGTTAAATCCAAGAAACCAAGGATTTTGGAACAATAAATATGATTTGCTGTCTTGTTATTTCTTCTCTTTTGTTTCACACTGTGTAACAATCTTTACAAAACTCCCCAAACTAGGAGAAGCTTAGTCATCCTAAAATCGACTACATTTTCTGGTTCAAATCAGGACATATAGAGAACAACAAAAGTAAACCAAACTTGGGTAAATTCCAAAATTCAAGATTTCACAATGCGTTACTGCCTTCCCTGTCTTAATATATTCAAATGTATTCTTTGCCCTTGACTACAAAGTTGTGACTATTTATTGATGTATATCAAAAAAAAATTTTAAACAGGAACAGTTGCCACTGCTATTTTCTATTGCTGCAAGTCAACCAAAGCAGCCCTGGCTTAAATCCGGGCAGTTCTGAACTGTCTGCAGTCTATTCTCTCAAGTGGGCTTAAGAGATTTCACAACATTACAGAAGCACAGAATTGCTACACAGTGCAGAAGGAGGCCACTTGGTCCATCAAATCTGCACTGGCTCTCCGAACACTAACTTGGTGTCAATTTCCTGCCTTTATCTCACACCCTGTCCTCTCTAATTCCGCAATTGAATCTTCCTCCATCCCATGTCCAGACAGTGCATTCCAGACCATAACTACTCGATAAGCGTAAACAATTTTGTTGTTATCTCATATTTGCTTCTTTGCAAAACACTTTAAAACTGTGCCCTCTGGTTCCTAACCAGCTTATGGGAGGCAAGGGTTTCTCCCTATCTACTCTAAGTCTCTCATGATTTTGAAAATTTCTAGTGAAATCTCCTCTTAGCCATCTTCTCGCCAATGAAAACAGTCCCAACTTCTCTAATCTGTCCTTGTCACAGAAGTGTCTAATCCCTGGAACCATTCTTATTAATCTTGTCTGCACTTTGTCCAATTCATTCTCATCCTTCCTAAACTGTAGTGTCCAGAACTCTACAAAAAATTCCAGCTGAAGTCTAACCTGAGTCATTTAAGTTCCTCACAACGTACCCTATGCGGCAATAATGAAGCCTAGAATACTGTATGCTTTATTCACAGATGTCTCTACCTCTCCTACCATTGTGTGCACGTATACACCTAGATCGCTCAGCTCCTGCACACCCTTCAGAATATTACTCTTAATACTTTTCAAAGAGCAATAGGGAATGTCTGATCATTACTTATTCCTCAATGGGAGTCAGACGATTCAATTAGCCATTTGATCCCATCACTATTTATGAGCTTGTTCACAAATGGGATTGCCTACATTATAATAGTGGCCAGAATTCAAAATAATTAAGTCAACTGTGAAGTGCTTTGGGATGAACTGAGATGGTGAAAAGCTCCACATCCGTGCAAGTTCTTGATTATGGTTAGAGTGGTTAAGAGGTATGCAGAACATTAACCGAGGCATGGAATATAAGAGTAGAGAGATTAGGCTGAAAATATTGTTTAGGCCACAGCTGGTGTACTGTGTACAGTTCTGGTCACCTCACTATAGGAAGGACATGAATGCATTAGAGGGGGTGCAGAGGGGATTTACCAGGATGATGACTGGGCTGGAGGGTCTGTGCTGTGAGCAAAGAGCAGATAGGCTGGCATCGTTTTCTTAGAGCAGTGAAAGCCGAGAGGGGACCTAATAGAGGTGTATAAGATTATGGACGGGCATATATTGGTGGCTAGGAATGCACTTTTCCCATTAGATGGGTCAATAACCAGAACCAGAGGTAGAAGGTCAAGAGGAGAGTTGAGGAGAAATTATTTCACCCAGAATGTGTTGAGAGTCTGGAATTCATTGCCTTAAAGTATGGCTGAGTCAGAAACTCTAAGTATTTAAGTAGCATTTAGATATTCATTTGCAGTACCATGGGCCAAAAAGGTGGAAAATCGGATTATAGTAGTCAGATTTCTGTTGTTTGGTATGGATATGATGGGCAGAATGGACTTTCCTCTAACCTATAAATGCCCCTGAATCTATTATTTTGCACACGATTGAATACTGTTCATCTGTGAAAGAAATGTACTTGTGGTGATCTTTACCACTGAGTGATTCAAATTGGGAATGCACAAGAGGCTAGAATTGGAGGCCTGCAGGTTGAGAAGCTTTTTAGGGCCATACGTGGCTACAGCGATGGAACAGAGAGAGTTGCATTTTTATAGCTGCATTCAGAACCTCAGGGCGTGCTAAAACACCTTACAGCCAAGAAAACACCTCCGGACGGTGTATAAGCACCCACAAAAACAGTAATGTCACCATTAGGAACAAAAAACAGAAGTTGCTGGAAAAGCTCAGCAGGTCTGGCAGCATCCGTGAAGAAAAAAAATTAGAGTTAACGTTTCGGGTCCAGTGACCCTTCCTCAGGAACTGAGAAACATTAACTCTCATTTTTGCAGCCAGACCTGCTGAGCGTTTCCAGCAACTTCTGTTTTTTTGTTGCAAAAATAACACTGCCTGAGATTGCCACAATGAATAACTCCCATTGGATAATGTAAAGCAATGCATTGTATCACAGCTTTCAACAAATTGACATGCACAAAAGCAGTCTGCCTCAGAGATATGGTAATAAGATGAAGTTTTAATATTCACCTGTACCTTCAATCTGACCAGTTTATCACTATTTACACATTTCTCATGATCATACCATACTGATTTATAAATGCACCTTTTGGAAATTGGTATAATCTTGAAACTGCTAAGTTAATTCAACACGATAAAACACAGTGTACAGATTTGATAAAAAAAAGAGTAACAAGCGCTTAGCTTAAAAAAATTACCATCTACAGATAAGAACAACATTCTCATTGTTCTACTTGAATTGTCACATGGAATTGTAAATACAAAGCGCTTACTGTCCTTTAGAATCAATGAACTGAAGTCACCACCACAGCTGAAATACAGTGCATAGCACTTACAGACTCCTGCAAATGGTAGATGCTGCCCAAGCAACTAGCTCTTGCTCCTTTATTGCTTCAAGTGCTTGCCATTCATTCAGAAACCTTATCCTGATTATTATTCCAGAAGGCTCACATCAATGCTAGTGGGTAGTCTATCTGCTGCAATTGGATTGGATTGAACGAGTGAAACAAAACAACCTCAATAACTGCAAACTTTCCCAATTCTAAAACCCTGGTGTTGGTTAGAGAAAACCTTTGTTGTGGGGCTGCATTAAAATCAGTCTCTTAACTCAAATAACATTATACTGCTCACTTACAGAGATTTGCTGTTGGCAAAGCCATTAGTACAGTACTATGCTTCATTTTCAGTTCCTGAATTGTTCTTAAACATTTTCTATCTCAGCATCCAAAACAACCGAAAGATGGTTTTCAACTGAGCTAAGAAGTGGAATGTTAGTGTGACAATCATTAACTCTTCACAATCCAGAGATTGAATTCCTAACAAATTCCAATAGGGACCAGGTTAATGGTTAAATCATTAAATCGCTCAGCATTTTTTCAGGAAAGACACCCAGGAAGAATTAGAGGTGAGATGAGAATGACTGCCCTTGAAATCAAGGCTGTATTTGACTGAGTGTTAAACTGAGGAGCTCTAGAGAGAAAAAAAAAGGAATCAATAGGTATCGGGGTTAAATCTTGCAGCTGGTTAGAGTCATACATGGCACAAAACAAAACAGCTGTGGTTATTGGTGATCAATCATCTAAGCCCAAGGACATCACTGTAGGAGTTCCTCATTGAGGTGTCCTAGGCCCAACCATCTTCATCAATGACCTATCTTCTATCATAAAGGTCAGAGGTGAGGATGTTAAGTCACGATTGCACAATGTTCAGCACCAGTCACAACTCCTGAAGTCTTGAAGCCATTTGCGTTTGTGCACATTAAGACTAGGACAGCATTCAGACTTGGCCTGATGGATAGCCAGTAACATGTTGTCTCTTGAGTGCCAGGTAATGGCCACATCCAAAAATCCCTTTGATAATGGCAATACTATTGCTACATCTCTCACTACCAACATCCTGGGGCTACTTTGCCCAGAAACTAAACCGGGCATAAATCCAACAGGACAGAGACTAGGAATTGAGAAGTAATGCACCTCCTGATTCCTGAATCCCTATTTATCCTTACATGGTACGAGTTGGGAGTGTGATGGAATACTTCCTACTTCCTTGGGCAGTGCAGCTGTAACACTTTGATGTTCATCCAGATCATAAATAAATATTAACTCCCTCCATCACTGACAAACAGTGGCAGCAATATGTCTCACCTGCAATCTGAAATGCAGCAACTTGCCAAACCTCCTTTGACAGCACCTTCTAAACCCACAACCTCTATCACTCAAAAGGTAGGGCCGCAGGAACATGACACCCCTCCACACACCATCCTGACCTGGAACTACTTTGCCATTCCTTCACTGTTGCTGGATCAAATCCTGCAACTCTCCTCCAAACAGCACTGTGGGGATATTTACACCACATGGACAATTGCAGTTCAACAGAGTGCCTCACTGTCACCTTGAGTCGATGAGGGATAAGCAGTAAATGCTTAAACAGCTTCACCTACTAACCATGAAGATTTTGAAAGTTAGAGAATGCTGGCTACAGAACTAGTTCTTTTTTAAAAGGCTGGAAAAAGATAAAAAGGGCAAAAGAGAAAGAACCAGTAGCAGATGTCAATTCTTCAGATTGTTGTTGATTTTTTCTAAAATTGCTGTATCTGTTTTACATGTGATTTTCAAAGTAATCTGCAACTATCAGATTATAGTCTATTTTAAATGTCTCTTCAAGAAACCTTTAAGAATAAATGTACCCACTGCTCTTACAAGATACATTCCTGATATAAAAGAAACACATTAAAATTATGTTGCATTAGATAAAAATCAGAATTGATGTGAATGCTCCAAAAGGACTATACTTAAACAGTAACTGGTTCTAAGCTTTACCTTTGTGAAATGTGTCCTGATCTGGTATAAAAAAAGCTCCAGCACACATTCCAGCCAGCACTACGAGTTTCACAAACCAGAACCTAGGCACAAAATACAGCCATTAACATCTCAGCACAGAATAAACCTTCTTCTCAAATGGACAGGTTCTAAACAACACCTACCCATTGTGGAGGTAAGCTCGGCAATCTTTACTGGTCTTCACATTGATCATTATCAGGAAGAAGATGAAGAAGAATATGGCCATTCCAAAGCAGACCTTATAAACAGCAGAGTAGCCCACAAGCCTTTCACAATCAGTGCCTGCTTTAATAGTTCTGCAAAACTCTCCATAGAAGGTAACCTAGAAAAAAAGAGGCAAAGTAAAACAATTCCATTGTTTTCTTACATCATTGATCAAATAACCCTGAAAGTGACCTTATTTGCTGTTTTTAGGCATCTTTGATTGAACGTAGGCATCTGGATGCTTGGCCCCAAGTGTCCTTGTGAAAGTGGTTGGACAGTCACAATCTGAAATCATTGCAGTCCAACAGAAACATACAAACATTGGACTAGACAACAGGACTAGACCATTCAGTAAGATCCTGGCTAATTTGACTGGTGTCTCAGCATACGCAAGTATACCCACAGCAAATATTGGGAGGGCAATCCAGGATTTTGACCCAGTGACAGTGAAGGAAACTGGTGATATAGTTCCAAATCAGGATAGTACGTGGCTTAAAGGTGAACATCCAGCAGCGGTGCTCTCGTGCAGTCACTGCTCGTCATTTTAAATGGCAGAGCCAGGTTCAGGCCCTGCTGCTGGTCCTGGATTACAGCACTCAACTCAAACCACAAGTTTGGAAGGTGATGTCAAAGGGGCCTTGGTGAGCTGCTGCAGTGCACCTTGTAGATGGCATACATTGCCGCTACGGAGTGTTGGTGGTGGGCAGAGTGCAGATGGGTTACCAATTAAGTGGGCCGTTTCATCTCTGGGATCTGTCTCTATGTACTCTATACACTCCCACCCTCACACCCCCAGCCCTGGTGTCAGGATAAATACCCACCCTTTCCTGACTATTCCCAGTGCAGAAAAAGGGTCACTGGACCTGAAAATGTTAATTGTTTTTCTCTCAACAGTCTCTGCATTCTCTAGCACTCTCTAGTTTTGTTTCAGATTTCCAGCATCTGCAGTTCTGTGCGCTTAGTTCACAGAGAGATTCTTGTAATTTTGAACTAGTTCCTTTCCGTATACAGAGAGTATCATAGAGTTATACAGCATGGAAACAGACCCTTTGGCCCAACTCGTCCATGTGGACCAGGTTTCCTAAATTAAACTAGTCCTATTTGCCCGTGTTTTGTGCATATGCCTCGAAATCTTTCCTTTCCTTGCCCCTGTCCCAATGGTTTTTAAATGCTGTGACCGTACTTCCATCTTGTACCCCATCTGCACTCCATGTACTTTCCAAGGTGATGGGGTCGTAAAGAAGGCGTATGGTGTGTTGGCTTTCATTGGCAGGGGAACTGAGTTTAAGAGCCATGAGGTTCTGCTGCAACTCTATAAAACCCTGGTTAGAACACACTTGGAATATTGTGTTCAGTTCTCGTTGCCTCATTATAGGAAGGACGTGGAAGCTTTAGAGAGGGCGCAGAGGAGATTTACCAGGATGCTGCCTGAACTGGAGGGCAGGTCTTATGAGGAAAGGTTGAGGGAGCTAGGGCTTTTCTCATTGGAGCGAAGTAGTATGAGAGGTGACTTGATAGATGTTTACAAGATGGTGAGAGGCATAGATAGAGTGGGTAGTCAGAGACTTTTTCCCAGGGTGGAAACGACTATTACGAGGGAGCATAATTTTAAGGTGATTGGAGGAAGGTATCGGGGAGATGTCAGAGGTAGGTTCTTCACACAGAGAGTGGTGGGCGTGTGGAATGTGCTGCCGGCAGTGGTAGTGGAGTCAGATGCTTAAAAGTCTCGAAAGTGACTCCTGGATAGGTACATGGATGATAGTATAATGTAGGGTATGCAGGGTAGTTTGATCTCAGTAGGATAATTGGTCGGCACAACATCGTGGGCCAAAGGGCCTGTACTGTGCTGTACTGTTCTATGTTCTATGTTCTATGTTCTATGTTCTATGTTCTATGTTC